ATTGTGTTGGAAATTTGAGGTCTGCAGAATTTTCCCAAATATTGTCAGTTATATATCTATGATCCTAATGCAGCAGTGTCATTCAGAATGGAGCAACCTGGTAATGATGGTTGTATACGTGAGTTAATGCAACTTTTGCAAACATTAATTAATCAAGAAAACCCATTTGCTCTTGCATTTAAAAACATGGCAAAAGTAGAGGATAAAGAAATCTGCAAAGCAGCTTTAGAAGAAAGACCAACTTCTGTTGTTAGAATGTCTTTGCATGAAGGTTATGATAGACGTTGATACAATCTTCCTTCCCATGAGGAGGTCGCTATTGTGTTTGTGGGAGATGATGATGGTGCTCCACCTGCATCCAGGAAAGTTGTTATATACTCTCGGTCAGGTCAGCCTTTAAAAACAATTTTGTCTATGACTGCAAATTTAGATCCTATGGTATATCCAATACTTTTCCCGAGAGGTGATGCTGGATGGCACAATCAACTGGAGCACAACCCTGACCGCGCAACCCGTGTTAGAAACCATGTTATTTTGTCTCTATTATAATTATAGAGTTAGACAAACTTTTAGTCCTATATTCTATGGTAAGAAACTTTTTCAGCAATACGTTGTTGATGCATATGTCAAAGTTAAGGGACAGCACCTTGCTTTTATTAGAAATAACCAAAACAAACTTAGAAGTGAACAATATGATACATTGCATGAACAATTCCGGTCTTTTAATTTTTAGCTTTTAAATGCAATTAGCAATAAAATTAATTGTGCTAATGATCTTAATGTAAGACCAGGCCGCATTGTTATAATCCCTTTTTCATATGTTGGTAGTCCAAGAGCACTAAAAGAAAACTTTGAAGATGCGATGGCAGTCATAAAGAAATACGGTGAACCAGATCTATTCATTACTTTTACCTGCAATCCAAAATGGGGAGAAATAGTAGAAAATTTAAACCCTGACCAAACTGCTAATGACAGACCTGATTTAGTTTTTCGAGTATTTAAAATAAAACTTAAATTTTTCTTAGAAGATATTTTCAAGCATGGAGTCTTAGGCAAAGTTGTAAGTCATGTACAGGTTGTTGAGTTTCAAAAGCATGGTTTGCCACATGTATATATTTTATTGCACTTTATAAATGCAGATAAGATAGAAACAGCAGAAGATATTGACAGTTTGATATCAGCAGAAATTCCAGACCCAGCTGTTGATCCTGAACTTCATGAAATTATAGAATCATGCATTATACATCGACCATGTGGAATTATAAATCCCAATTCTCCCTGTGTGAAAGATGGAAAATGCACCAAAAAATTTCCTAAAGAATTTAATCTCCACACTGTTGCAATTTTTAATGGTTATCCACGCTATAGACGTGTCAATAACAGAAGAATTGTCAATATAAAAGGCAATCAAGTTGATAACCATTGGGTTGTACCTTATAACCCATGGCTTTCTAAAAAATATCAAGCACACATAAATGTTGAAGCCTGCAAATACTTCCGGTTGTAAAGAGAGGGCAACCAGCAGATATTGTTAAAGCCTGTATAAAATGTTCTCAACATTGGCAATATTTTCAACAATTTTCATTAACAGAAAATATGAGGGTTCGGGCCGAAGAAGAGGAATTCTCTCAATGAATTCTCTTTTAAAACTTGGTAGTGGAACATTACCGTTAAAAGCAGATGGTTCCTTTCGCGGGTGCATTGAAATTCCTGAGCAGTGCTTGCTTGGAGCAAATGAATCTATAGTAGACAATATTTTTGGAGTTGCAGAAGAAGATGATTATGCAAAACATGCATTTTGACACCCAATAATGTAGATTCATTAGCAATAAATTAAGAAGTTTTGGACCGTTAACCAGGCAATGTAAAAGTTTATTTAAGTGCAGATACTATTGAAACAGATGATCTTAACGAAATCAACAATTTTCCTGTTGAGTTTTTAAACAGTCTTACTCCATCGGGAATGCCTGTTCCTTGCCTAAAATTAAAAATTGGTGCTGTTATGTTACTTCGAAATTTAGATCTTAAAGCTGAACTTTGCAATGGTACCCGATTGATGGTGCGTGCTCTACAAAATGATTACATTGATGGGCAAGTTCTAACAGGTGTTTCAGTTGGCAAGAGGGTATTTGTTCCTCGAGTTCAGTTAATACGATCTGATTCAAATTTATCTTTTACTCTTAAACGCCGTCAATTTCCTATAAGATTATAATGAGTTATTTCCTATATGTTAATATATATGTATTATATAAAGTAAAAGATTTATGTTTTTTAAATGTTTATGTATGTTTTTATAAGTGTGTGCAGTTAGTAGTTTAAATATGTTCAATAAACTCAGGATAACTCAACCCTCAATATAAACTAATTTTGAAATATAAACTAATTTTGAAATTCCACTTAAGCTTTTTTTTATATATTATACTCCCAATAACACTAATTTTCTTTAAACTAAATTAATTTCTTTGTCCTTTAAAGGTGTGGATTATCTAGAGTTTACTTTAACATGTTCTGTTATTTAATTAATTGTTGTGATGTTTTATGCTAATAGGCTTAGCTCATATTCATGTTGATCTGTCAGGGTTATGGAAAAATAAAAAGTAAGTTTCTTATACACTTATTCGCATTTTTGAGTTTTCAAAAAAATCAATTGATTGCATGACACATTAATTTGTAATTAATGTGTATTATGTTTAAAATAATTTTGTTCTATTTTTAGGTCGAGTTCCTTTTCTTATGGCTGACTTGATTATGGCTTACCTAAAGCCTAATAATAATGAAACAATGTTTCAATTTAAATTGTTTTTGAAGTATTTTTGTTACTTTTTGTTAAATATAATTTTTTTTTTGTATTTTTTTTAAAGTTTCTATTTTTATTTTATTTTAAGAAAAATGTTTTTTGTTTCTTAAGTAAATATCTATATTTTCTTATTTTTGGATTTATTGTTTCAAATGGATATATTGATCATTTTTGCATAGTTTTTTTATTTTTGTTGCTTTTTATTATATATATGAATAGAAACCATTTATACTTAAAATCGTATTTTGTACTCGAAGCTTCCATTTGCATTAAGTATCAATTAGCACAAACAACATGTTTAATAACTTCGGATCTAAAAACAGCTTAATTGAATGAATTTGTTAACAGCTTTGTTTTTTACAGCAATGTTTTTATAAAAAGTATCAAACGGATAAAGCTAACTTATTTAAAATAACAAGTCTCTTAGGCTCGTTTTCTAATGTTCAAATTTATTTTTCAAATAAATCTTGATGAGAGAGTAAAATTTTGATTATAGCTTAAGTTTTCAAAAACACCTGAAGAACTTTTACGGAACGCTCTCTATTATGTTAAAGATCCTTTTATGTATAAAATATTGGAGTACATTAAGTAAATAAGTACAGTTTCTAAAGTATATTAAGTCAATTGTTTACCAATAACTTCAAATCGACTTATTTTTTGCTGTTTACATAAGGTATAGAGACCTAACTAAGAACAAGTTTGGAAATAGGATGTGGAATAGAGTTGCCACAACCCGTATCGTAAGGGTCACCACAGCTAATTCCGCAATTAAAACAGTATAGTTGTTAATATATTTCAACAATTATATAAATTTTTTATAATTATATAAATAATTTAAGAGTTTTTTTACAGAAACCCATTGGGTACCGAACCTAAAAAAGACGTGTACAAGGCGTTTTAAATGTCTTTTTTACATTTGTGCCTACTGGGAAGGCTTTTATATAATATATCAAACAGATAAAGCTAACTTATTTGGAATAACTAGGTCCCTTGGACCCATTTTTAATGTCCAAATTTGCTTTTTAAATAAATCCTTATTAGAGAATTAAAATATTATCATAGCCTAAGTGTCACACAACTGTGTTAAATGCTACTTAAAAGATACTTTTATTATGTAGAAAATATTAAAGTAAATAAGTAATAATGTAATAAGTAAAAATACTAATTAGTTCTAAAGAACAGTAAATTAGAAATCAAAAACTGTAGGTAGTCAGTAAAATGCAAACTGTGTACTTTTTAACGAACCAAAACATTTTAATGACCACAACAGTCATGATATTAAAAACATTTCTTCATCGATTTTTTAAATTAAATATATTGGTAATTGATATATTTTATTTAAATTAGACTTTTCTTTTAAATTAATTATAATTTAACGAGCAATTAAAGTTCGATTTAATTTTCTTAAGAGTTCACATTTTACCATCTGGTAGGTGGTAAAATGCGAACTTTAATTGTAATTGCAATTAAAATTCGTATTTTACCATCTACCAGAACTTTAAATTGATTTATTTTTTGCCGTTTACTAAATAAATTAAAGTATAAAGACTAAGGAACAAGTTTAGAAGATAGGGGTGTGGATTAGATTTGGCACGACTTGTATCGTACGGGTCATACCAGCTAGTAATATTTATTATTTTAACACATAGTGTGCACAGCCCACCTAAATTCAAAAAAGTAAATGTGTTTATGCATGTGTGTGTATATATACATTCACATATGAATATATGTGTGTAAATTGTGTAGGTAATTCCAATAAAAAGAGTGATTAATGAATTTAATAGATATATATATATATATATACTTTTTTTTAATTTTATTTAGGTGCCCCAAGAAGTCCCTACGTTCTAATCACAGATATGAGCAATAAGTTAAAGAGATATGGTAAGCACCGCGGATGAACATTTAATTGGAAGTTCACGCCTCCTTCCTAACCGATGTCGCAAAACTTGCCCAGAGGTGGGGTTTGAACCATGGATCCTTTGTTTCTGAGGCAAGTGCGCTACCACTGCGCCATGGCTGCTCGATATATATATACACACATATATATACATATATATATATATATATATATATAAATATATATATATATAAATGTATATATATATATAAATATATATAAATATATATATATATCTATATATATATATATAGATATATATATATATATATTTAAATAAATATATTAGTGTTATAAACATACTTAGATTCAAGTCTCCATTTGGCATAGTCTTCTAAATAGAGTAAAAAATGTTATAAGAAAAACTTAACAGTAATAAATATAAAATATATAAAGCATTTTATTTTAAGAATAATTAACAAATCATGAATTAATTAACAATAATTGACTATTACTATTAACAATCATTACTACCAATTAAAATTAGCTAACAATGTTTTTAAGTAAATACTTTAAAGTTTTAAAATTATAACAATATCCAATCAAATAGGGAAAGTATTATATTTTACTTTTTGGTAAAAACCTTAAAATTAAATAAGTTTTCACATAATTTTATAAATATATATATTAAATAAAAAAAAAATTTTACCTGATAAATCATCTTCTTTTTTTCGCTTACATTGTTCCTCTTCAAAACTTTCTAACTGTTCATAACATCGCCACACAAATACTGCACCATCTCGACTTACTGAATAACACTTATTAAAGTTAAGAAATTTTGTGAAGCTTTTAATAATTTTCTGAAACTTTTACTTTTTACTTATATATTTACTTTTCTTATATATGATTAACATATGAAATACATACATAAATATATACATACATACATTACACACATTACATATATTATATAGATTACATATATTACATAAGGATGTCCCTAAGGATGCATTTTTTTTTTTTAATTTTGAGTTAAACTTTTTATGTGAGATGCATAATGATTAAAAAATAATTATTGTAAAATTTTGGGACAATCAAACACTGTTTAGGGGTAACACAGGAGATACCACTGCATGTCAGTGATGTACTGGCAATCAACATTTGTTACAATGACAAAAATTTGACTTTGCAAAATAGCCTTTGCTTGGAGCAACTTTTGCCTTTCTCAATGCCTCAAATAGTCAACTTTCCAACTTACTTTCCAGACAACCCCAATCATTTACCTTCTCTACTTGACTTATGCCTTGTTTCTGATCTTAGTCAGTGCTCAGTTTCTCCACATTCACCCTTAGGTCTTCTGATCACAGTTTGATCTCTCTAAAACTATTATCTCATTCTTCCTCATCATCTCCCTATCATTGTACCTCTTACATCTACCTTAAAGGTGAGTGGGATTCTTCCCATGATTTTCTTTGTGATGGCCCTTGCGTAGAAATCTTTCGTCTTCCTGTTAACAAATGTGCTACTTACATAACTTCGTGGATTCAGGCTGGCATGGAATCTTTTATTCCCTCTCGACGTTTCTAGGTCAATCCTCACTCTTCTCCATGGTTTTCCTCGCATTGTGCTGCAATTGCCAATCGAAATTGTTACTTCCATATCTATTAGCAAAACAATTCTCCAGAAAACAGAAGTCTGTTTATTACTGCTAGAAACCATTGTAAAAAGGTTTTGTCTAACGCCAAAGCCCACTATTCTCAGGTCATGAAATCTAGTATTTCATCACAAAAATTAGGCTCTCGTAACTTTGGGAGAATATTTAATAGTATTGATAAGGGCAAATCTGTAATTCCACCTCTTTTATATGGTTTAGACTTTGTCACCTCACCTAAAGACAAAGCTAAATTGTTTGCTAAGAACGTTTCATCAATACCATCTCTTGATTCCTCTAGTTGCATTCTACCTGATGTAAACATTAAACAGGTTGATCCATTGCTTGACATTTGTATCACTCCAGCTTCTGTATCAAAAGTTATTTCCTGCTTAGACTCTTCTACAGCTTGTGGCCCAAAATATGTATGTATGTATGTATGTATGTATATATATATATATATATATATATATATATATATATATATATATATATATATATATATATATATATATATGTACATATATATACACATTTTTTTTATCTATATATACATATATATATATATAAATGTATGTTTGTATATACATATACATATATATATATATATATATATATATATATATATATATATATATATATATATATATATATATATATATATATATATATATATATATATTTATATATACATACATATATAATTAAAGTATTAAGTAACATCGTTGTTGATGAAATCTAAACTGGAACAATAAAAACGAAATTATTATGTCAGGATCTATATAACTGCAATAACTTTATATATTTTTTTAAAATATGATTTCAAAGAAAAACAAATATATTTATAACTCTTTCTAACTCATTGCAAAAGTAATTCTATTAAATGAAATTACCTATCTAACAGTTTTTCTATCCAAATAAATGTGACAAAAATAAGAAACATCAAAGTTTTTATTATGAAATATGTTTTGTCAATACCTATCTATTATGATTATTAAAAAAAACATTTTGCTAAAGGTATTAAAAATAAGCATTTTAGCTATATTTTTTGGAATTTATTTTTAGAAAAACTAAAACTAATTATAACAATGGTTTATCATCAAAATTATTCATTGGACATCAGATCCCGGGTCATTTGTGATTGAAAAAAGGGCCTTATCTACAAAAAATGTGCTGAAAAATATCAAATAAATAGTAAGTAAAGTTAGGAAGATGTGGATATAAAAAAAGAAACAATTGGCTCAGTTAAAGTTTAGAAAAGACTTGGTTGCCCCTCTAAAACTTCAACAAGAACTGATATGCTAATAGCAAAGATAGCAAAAAAAAATTCAACAAAAATCTCAGATAAAACAGGTTGTTGAAAACCTTATATTAAATGTTTTCCAGTCAAAAAAGACTTAATTTAAGTGGTTTAATTAACCATCTTCAGAAAAGTAAACTGCTCATTAGTGGTATAAACAAAAACAAAAAAAATGTTTAGCATTTGCAAAATAGCATCACAAGGTTGAGGCATTGCCAAAATAAATATTGGAAAACGTTTTCTATTTATTAAAACTATTTAAGAGGGTATTGCTTTAGGACTCTGAGAGCTGCAATTATGTTAAAGATGACTCTTAAAGCTGCAATCAGTGTTATGACAATAAACTTTGATTATTTAAAATGCTTTAAAAAACAAAAAAGAATTTGGTGCAGACCTTGTGATGTATTCTTAGACAAAAATCTTTAAAAAAATCACGGAAGTGGCTCACTTGTTTGGAGATGCTTTGGTTCAAATGGTGTGGGAAGGCTAGAGAATATTGAAGGTATAATGACAGGACTTTTTTCAACAATACAACAACCCGAAATACACTAGCAAAATGGCACAATAGCTTCTCAAGTATACATTTTAAAGTTAAAATCCTCAGGGGGCGACGAATCAACGAACGTGCAAACATTTGGTAAAAAAAAGAGAGAAAGAAGACGTCACGTTTCCTTACTTTTACTTAAGCAAACGTGGGCGTTTGCAAAAATTTGTAAAAACAAACGCATAACTTCAGCAATTTTTTTTCCAAATAATTATGCAATTGATAGTATTTTATTTAATATAAAAAAAACATAATTATTATAAAAAAACAATAAGTTACTAAAAGTTAAAACACATTTTCAACAACTTCAAAAAAAAACCATGCTAATACTTTCATCAAAAGTGTTACTTTTAATAATTAAGTACGCAACAGAAGAAGTTTTAGCATGGTTTTTACATGCGTTTATAAAAGCATGGAAAATTTCAGTAAAATGTTATGCTAAAAATGCTTTCTTTTTTTCCATGCTAAAACTGCTTTCTTCAAAAGCATGCTTTTTTCAAATTTTCTTATTATCATTAAATTAAAGTAATGTTTGTTTTCCCTTTTTAATGTTTTTAAAATTTTTTTTAAGATTTGCAGAAATATTTATAATTTAATAGAATATATATATATATATATATATATATATATATATATATATATATATATATATATATATATATATATATATATATATATATAATATATATATATATATATATATATATATATATATATATATATATATACATATATATATATATATATATATATATATATATATATATATATATATATATATATATATATATATATTTGTTATTTAGGTGCTCCAAGAAGACCTAATGGTCTTGTCACAGAGCACCGCGGAAGTGCATTTAACCAGGAAGTTCACACCTCCTTCCTTACCCTGACGCGAAATATATCCAGAGCTCTAACCACTGCGCCACAGCCGCAATATATAGAACTATTATGTTAATTATAGTTTTCATTTTTTACTGTGCGTTTAACAGCACAAATAATATATTTTATTATTAAATTCTTAATATTATTATAAATATAACAATATCAAATTTAATAATAACTTAATATAATAACTTATTAAATACTTAATATTATATTATATATATATATATATATATATATATATATATATATATATATATATATATATATATATATATATATATATATATATATATATATATATATATATATATATATATATATATATATATATATATATATATATATATATATATATATATATATATATATATATATATTAGGGTGGTCCAAAATTATAAATTATTGAAATTCATTTCTCCACAAGGCTGCCTATGTTCCTATTAATATTTGCAATATTGTAGCCAAATTTGAAGCAAATCGGATAATATTTAGGGGTTGCTATAAATTTTGACTTTTTGACCACAATGATAAAAAAATCAAAAAAATTAAGTTTTCACTATAAATATAATATCGAATTTAAAAATTAATGCCACTAACAATTTAAATCAGGTAAATAGAATGCCTGTAGAGTATCTAATGAATATAGATCATCAATTGATCAATTTTTATTAAAGTATATCAACGTTTCGTAACTTTCGTAATTTTTAAACAAAAAACTGTAATATCAAGAATATTGTGAATATGTTGAAAAATGTATGTTTATTAATCAACGATTTCGTCATCTTTCGCCAACATGGCTGCCTTGGATGAAGTTGGGTATAGCTGGCGGTGACGTTGAACAAAATAAAGTAGGAACTGCTTTTGTTCTTCATCCTTTGTAATCGATTCGTTGTACTGTCCAATTAATGCAATTCCACGTTCTGCGCTGTCATTAACAACTTTCATTCTTTGGACTATTTAGGATCTTTTGAAATTTTTGA